ATCTGTTACTAACACTGGAACCACCTCATTTACACACTCGCATCAGCTTGATCATATTATCCTTTCATATTATATAATAATATTATATTAGCTCATATGTTGCTCTAAAATACTTGACTGTGATTGTCCAGTCATTTTGTGATCAATAATCTGTAACGACACCAAACAGTATAGTGTTGGATTGTTGAAATCCTACACAGCTGTGCTGATTTCATGTCTCTCTAATCACTTTGCACTCTTACGTTGGTCTCTCCCTCAGATTATTAGTTCACGTTCATTCATGTATTCATTTGATAAAAAGTCTCAGGGACGGTCTTGTGATGATGAACTCTGTGAACCCATCAGGTGAACTGGGCGCTTCAGGTGAGTGCGGATCACAGCAGTCTGGACGAGGATGAGGGCTGGCAGTCCGACGGGCCGCTGAGACGCAGCCGCGAGCTGCAGGAGCTGGTGACCCGCGTGGCGCTGCTGGAGACCCAGATCAAGAGCTCCAAGCAGGAGGGGAAGAGCGGCGCGGAGGGCGGGAAATGTGCCACCTGGCCTGGGTGAGGCACTTTCTGCTGTACAGATTGAGTCAAAGCAGCTTCACAGTAATAAACAGGAAAATAACAATCAATGATTAAAGGGGTCATGAACTGAGAAATCAAATTTCCCTTGATCTTTTGACATATAACAGGCCAATGTACTATAAAAACATCCTGTAAGTTTCTAAACTCCAAACTTTCTGGTTAGTCTAAAAACAGCTTATATTGAAACCAAGCTCAGAAAATGACTTGTTGTGGAATGAGCCACTTTATGGCGTAATAGTGTGGCTAAACCTCGCCTCCGCAGGAGAAGATCAATGCCTGCTTCTACATCACCTCCTCTTTAGCCCCGCCCACCGGTTCTACATCACTGCCTCTTTAGCCCCGCCCACCGATTCTACATCACTGCCTCTTTAGCCCCGCCCACCGATTCTACATCACTGCCTCTTTAGCCCAGCCCACTGATTCTACATCACTGCCTCTTTAGCCCCGCCTACCGATTCTACATCACTGCCTGACATTACAAGATCACAAGACACTGTGTAGTGTAAGTTGTGAAAAACAGTCTTTGAATTGCCTTGTGATCCTAACATATCTAGACTGGACACGTCAGGTGTAAACACGGGGTAAATTAGCAAAGAGCTGCAGATCGCATCAGTGTTTGTTTGCTTTACTTTGCTACGGATTCATTTTTAAACAAGACAGTATGATGCAGGCTTTTCAGAGAGACTGAGAGTAAAGGCTGATGCAGCGCTGAGTCTGACTAGAGCGGATCCGACAGTAATGTGTCACACAGAAGTGTGAGGGAACGTGCTTTCACCACTATTGCATTGTCTGTTCCAGACGGTTTGATATATACTGAGGATTCACACATTTTTAACCCAAACGACCCATGTTGTTTGCAGAGTACATCACAGCAGCGTCCATCTGTTATTTTAATAAGCGAAACTGTTATCCAATCACAGCAGTGGGCGTTTCCTTGAGTCTTGAATGAGCCCCGCCTATAAAAACAGAGCGTTCTGCAGAGAGGCTCAAAAACAGGAGAGAAAATAGCCTGTTACTTCTAAATTATGATGTTTTTTGTTGTAAAATCACACTAACATTATAAGTGAACCTCAGACAACATTATAAAATAATAAAAAATGAAGGTCATGACCCCTTTAACGCTGTGTCTTAAGAACTCATTTGACCCGCTAGCAGTTAGATGTAATCAGTCTCACATTTCATTCATTTTACAATATGAATAAAAAAAAGTTATGACCAGTCTTGAAGAAAAAAATTAGATGATAATCTTTTAAGCCTCTTCTAAGCAGTTTCTGCAACTGGCCACAGTTCAGTGTTGGTTCAGTTCAGTTCAACAGCTGTGCAAAGTCCATCAGTTATTAAATCCACTTTGGCTCTAAGCCGCTCTACAGATGACAGTCGTGTTGGTGATGCTCAGTGCTGATGTGTGTTTACGAGCACCTGTTGATAAGTTCTTCCTGGTCTTCTGCTGCTGCGCTGTATAAATCATCAGCCCGGGGTTTTCAGAGCAGATGCAGCAACAAACAGTGCAGGACTCGCAACATATATTTTTGTTTGGACAGGAAGTACAACACACTGATCCAGGCACAGGCACGAGAGCTGTCACACCTGCGGCAGAAGATGCGAGAGGGGCGGGGCATCTGCCACATCCTCACACAGCACCTGAGTGACACGACCAAAGCCTTCGAGGAGCTGCTGCGCGCCAACGACATCGATTACTACATGGGCCAAAGCTTCCGAGAGCAGCTTTCCCAGAGTTCCTCACTCGCTCAGAGAGTCAGCACCAAGATCAGTGGACGTGAGTGTGTGTGTGTGCACACACTCCTTACACACACACACACACACACACACACACACACATACAGTAAAGCATGTCAGCAGCTGCATGCAGTCGTTTGTTCAGGTGTATATAGTGCCGGTGTCATGTGACCTATAATAATATGTGCTGTATT